TCCCTAGCTCAGGTGGAACCAATACAGGTGGATTTGATAAATATCCTTTGATCTGGTCAAATGTCTCCTGGTATTCCACCGTCCATTTTACCGCGGCATCCTTCTTCAATAGCCGAAAGATGGGTTCACAGGTTGCTGTGAGTTGTGCAATAAATCTGCTGATGTAATTCAACCTTCCCAACAGACTCATTACTTCTGTCTTGTTCTTCGGCGGTGACATATCTTGGATAGGGTGCGTGTACATGTCGATGCTTTATGCTGAGGGCGGCACAAAATTGGGTAGGGGAGAGTGTCATGACCCGCCACATCATCATGCCACATAGGTGTCACTTGGCATATATTTTTGCCATATAGAAAGCTTACATATGAAATAGACTAGCACATGTGGGAAGATTCTAGAGAAATATGGAGATTTTTTGTGGAACACCTTAGAACCCTATGGAATTGCTAGGAAAGTCCTTAGAAGATTCTAACTATATAAAAAATTCTAGAGAATGTACTTACTTGTAAATAATATGGGCCTTGTGTCATAATTATTATTTACTAACTAGTCCCTAGGAGACTATCTCACTTGCTTCTGAACAGTTCTTTTTCTTTTCTTTCTTTCTTTTTCTGGGGTGGGGGTTGGCTTGCAGAAAGCATTAGCTGATGCGGTATTCCCTTTTCGAATAAGACAAAGAAGATTTACAATCTCGGATGAGCCTGTAATTTTCTCTCTGAATTCTTATCTGTTTTCTTGTACGTGGAAAGACAAGGCATTAGTGTAAGTTTACGAATTTTTGTGCATTAGCAGTGCTGTTATCCCTGCAAAAGGATCTATAGATATGTTTGCGTTGGTTTTATTTTCTGAACTTGTCTTCAGTGCTTGTGTCTCAGGGGGCTAAATGTACTTCCCTTTTGGCTTAAAATTTTTTCATCATGTTCATTTGTTGCTCATAACTCCTGGATGGTGAGAATACAAGTCGAAAAAGCTTAGTACGTAGTTTAGTTTTCTGTTCCCATTGAAATCCATGTTAGAAAACTCATAGAGTTGTGGACAAGTAAATTGGATCTTATTTAGCTCGTCTTTTATTGAGTTCAGTCATCAGTGGTCGGGTCAAAAATAAAATGCAAGTGAGGTTTGAAACACTTGCAAATGTTGGAGTTAAACACCACATCATGATGAGATTATAACATTGATATTACAAATATTCTGCTTGTAGCATGTGATTTATTGGTAATTATTTATAGCCTGGTTGGCCAAGCTAGAGAAATCAACTTATTTTGAGAAGTGCATTTTTCAAAAGTGCTTTTGGAAAAAGTACTTTTGGAGAAAAACGGTTTGTGTTTGGCTAATCTGTCTGAAAAGCACTTTTGAACAATAATTTGTGTTTGGCCAAGCTTTTTAGAAAGTGCTTTTAAGTATCAAATTAGACATGAATATATTTACTTAATAGTTAATATTATAAGTAAATAAATAATCTCAAAAATTTGTTATTACATGCAATAATTAAATCTTTTCATTTTATTTTAGTAAACTATAAAAAATAAATTTAAAAGTACTTAATTCTTGTAATATAAGTTAAATATATTAAAAATTATTCAACAAAATATAAAAATATTCACCCCTAAAGTCACAATATATTAGAAAGCTATCCTAAAAATAATAAGAAATATTTATACATTAATATCCTAAGTATTGGGTTTAACGGTTATTTTGGTATATACTATATTTTGTTAAGGGTATTCTTGGTAAGAAGAAAAGTCAAAACTGCTTCTGCTTTTGCTTTTGGGAAGAAGTAGGGGTGACAAACATACGGATCAGATATGAGCGGGTCAAAACGGTTAAATATTTCACCCGGCCCATATTTGAGACGGATAAAAATTGATTTATCCGGCGGATAGTATGGATATTCATATTATCCATGGCTTCTTAAATATGACTACTTATGAAAGAATTTCTTGTCTTCCAAACTTGAGGAACTCCAATTTGAAGCTTTACAAATGTAAAAGTTAAACACATTAGTTATCCATTGGTTATACATTTGGTTAACTATTTACTAAGTGAATAATATGGTTCTTTATCCATGTTTGACCCGTTTTTAAATAGTTCATTATCCAACCCATTTTTTGATGGATAATATGGGTGGATAACTGTTTTTTTTAATCATTTTGCCTCCTCTAGGAAGAAGCTACTTTTTTCTGTTTCTGCTTCTTCTCAAAAGCACCTTCCCCCAAAAAGCTTGGCCAAACAACTCAAGTTAGGAAAGCCAAACAGGCTATTATTCTTTTCAACTCTTGCTTCTTATCTCTATGTGTTTCTAATTCTAATTTCTAATTATGCTTTCTGGTTATTATCAGTTTTGCAGGGGTTACTATAACCTCGACTTGATCAGAGCATGCTCCTTAGCCGATATAGGGTTATTGGTAAAATTCTTCCCTCTATCTTAACTCGTTCACCACTATTGCGTGAATCATATCCAGATTTTGAATCTCTCTCTCTTGTCCTTACTGCTCTATGGTGAAGGTCATATCCGCTTTACTGGATGAGTTTGAAGCTGGATATCGACAAACACGTGAACATTTCATACTCGCAAAGGCTCTTGGAGTTTCAAGGTTTGTTGTTCTTATAAACAAAATGGATGCTCTTGGGTGGCCGGAAGAAAGGTGTTCTTCTCTTTGCTGCATTTTGTTATGCATTTACAGATCCTTTTTGTTCTAGCAATTAATCTTGATCCATTTTCATGCAGGTATGCTGAGATCAAGTTGCAAATGAGCTCATTTTTGGTGTCGACTTTACACAAACTAGCGATGGAAGGTGATAAAGCATCTCTTGTTGGTTTATGTTTGTGATTTTAATGGTTAAGTCTATTATCTGAAGCTGATTTCATACCCTCTCATTAAGAGCTTACTCTTGATCCTGGATAGGTAAAAATGTCTCGATGTATATACTGCTTTTCATACATTATACACACGTTACTTATTTCTCAAACCATAAATCATTTATTGTGGTGAATTACAATTTCAACTTTTCCTGCATATAATATTTCAAGCTAGTTATCTAAGTGGAAATAAAACAAAATCACTTTTCAAAATGTTTTAAATATCTATGAAATATAGGCAGTTGAAGGTAGTCTCCGCTGATTTTCTTTGGCAAGTTCTATTATAGATGCAAATTTTCCTTGTAATTATTGGCTTAATAAGTTCTAGATATATCCCTTTTCTACCAAGAACGAAGTGGAATATGGAACTGCCAATCACAAGAAAAAAGAAATGGAATGTTTGATCTTATGTATCATCATTATCGTGAGTGTCAATCTGTTATTCTCTACTTCGTTTGAGGATTCCACATATTAGCTAAGCTGCAAGTGTGCTTCCTGCTCTTTGTGCTGGGATATCAGATGTCGTGTTCCTTCCGATTTCTGGGCGGTTGGCTTTAAATCTGGAAACTCCAGTTGCAAAAGCATGTCCATGGTGGGATGGTCCATGCCTATTGGATGTCCTTGATACGGTCAAAGTTCCACCTCGAGATCCTAGGGGTCCACTGAGGTATGTTCTGAACCCTCTCTTTGCTAATGCTATGAAGTCTTCCTATTTACTATCTTTTATCCTCTTTTCCTAAAACCCTAATTTCAATACTCACCCTCTTGTTAAATTTGCTGAATCTTTCTCTTTTGGCTAACCAAGAATTTTTCGAGGATCAATGGTGAACAGCTCGAAAATTAGGATAATGGCCTCGCTCCTCTTCACTTCTCCACTTAAGTACCATGATTTTGTCTGTGTTATACCCACATATTACTTGTCGCGCTTTTACCACTAGATCAAAGCTCTGAGGCTAAATTTGTTGAGTCTATGTGAAAGTTTGTTATTAAATGTTCTCATTACCTGCTCTACTCCTTGTCCACTTCTTTTTTTCCGAAAAGAAACCTGTTCGGCTTTAGATGGAATGCCATGGTGTTGTTTGTGTGCTGCATGCACCATTGTCATTTGCAACACTTTATATTTTGGGACAAGCATTAAGGGGAAAATATGATGTGTGGAAAGAGAAGAGCTTAGATTTGGAGAAGAAAATTGCAACGAATAGACTAAAGAGCAAGTCTTACCATGGGTCACCATAAACTTAGTTTTTTTTATTGCCTAAATTTTGTTGGATAAAGTTACCAGATACATGTATTGATGGGAGATAGTAGGTACCAGTACAATAGTAGAGGTGCAAGCAGGGCTGCCCAGACACCACCATTAATTAAATAACAAAAACAGAAAAGAAAGTAAATACTAAGGAGCACACTTATAGATTGAGAAAAGAAAATGTGAAGAGAAATTAGTTATAGAAAAACATTTGCGAGAGAGATTGGAGTCTAGGTCTTGAGAAGAAGATGGTGAAGAATGGACTGAGGAGTAAAACTTGCATCAATTATATTTTCATTGTATTTGACTTAGTTTTATTGTGTAGTATTTCTATAAAAGACTTAGTTTTATGTCAAACATTTTTCTTATTTCCCTCACCTGTTTATAAACAATTCCCTCCCCCCCCTTTTTGTTTCCTCCTAATTCTCTTGTTAGTATTTGTCAAGTATTTGACATGTTTTCTAAATTTTTCTTTCTTTCTTTTTTGTGTGTGCAGAATTTCTATAATTGATGTATATACCCCTGATGGAACCCCAGAGGGGACTCCATTTGTCGAGGTTACCGGGAAGGTTTTGTCTGGAACCATACGTGAAGGTGATGAGTTAGTTGTGTTGCCAAACCAGGTGATGTTTTAGATGAAAATTTAGACCCTTCTTCCTGAATAAACTCTGTAATTGATAGAATTCTTTGGTTCTTCCTAAATAAACTCTGTAATTGATAGAATTCTTTGGTATTCACCTTGCAAATTGATTTTTAGGTGGATGTTAGAGTTGAATACATCATTTTCTTTGGAGATGAGCCCAATACAAGATGTGCAGGCCCTGGTGCAACAATACATGTCGGGTTACGTGGAGTTGTGGAAGCTCAAATCTCCCCCGGCTTCGTCTTATCTGATATAGGTATATAACAATGACATATTGCTGATGAATAGGTTGGAGGTTTTTGTGATCAAATGAAAACCTAGGGACTGAATTTCTCCTATTCGTTATCTGGCAAACCAACATTAACCCTTAGCTGTTTTTGAGGTAGCATACATTATGGTCAATCAGTGTACTGACAAGTAAAGATAAAGGAGGAAGATAAATACTTCATTTTGTTAGTGAAAAGTTTCTTTACATTTTCTTTTTGTAACCAAAGCGAATAATGAATTTCCATATTGGTCTAAGCTTTTGTATGTTTTTAACAAGTTTCACATTTGCAGCAAGTCCAGTACATGCAGCTACAGAGTTTAATGTAGAATTAGAGTTTCTGGAAGGGCGGCCACACATTGTATGCGTCAAACCCTGATTTAGCATTTCATTCCCTCTTGGTTTCAAATTATACATTTGTAAATGATCCCTTCTTGTCTCAGGTTCGTATGCAAGACTACTTCAGTGGTGTACTGTATATTCATGCTATTGAGGTGGAATGTCATGTTTGGCTGTCGTATCAGCTTGATCACCCCCTTCAATACTCTCCGGTTGGCCATATGTGTTCAACTGATAGGTTACATGATTGGGATCTGGAGGAGTACAATATCTCTTATTGTTGTCGTCCGTTTCTTCAGAGGCAGAGGGAGGACGGTGTTAAGTTCCTTGGCCATATTGAGGTTAGGTCTCTTGTTGACTTGTTATTTATAGATCATTATGTTGTATTATGTTTGATCCCTCCAAAATAATCATGCCAGGTGGATAATGCTATATGTATAGATCTCAAACAAGGACCTGCTGGATTTGTCTTGATTCGTAATGGTAAGTTTATAGTAGTACTTGTGAGCACGTGATTTTTGTTTCACACGACAATCACTCCAAAAAGAAATAAAAAAACAAATA